ACAAATAAGTTCAATGTACAGGCTTCTGAACAATAACGTAAATGATTTAGTAACAAACTTCTACTCATCCTCGGTTTTTTTATTTTTTTTTTACTGTAATGTTCGGAATGTTTTAATTAAAGTTTAAAATTGAATTAACGTATTATTTTGAAACACTAATGGGATGTACTACTCATACATTTTGATTAGTAAATACTCGTAATAAGAATTTATTAGAACTGGATGAACTTGGAAAGGAATTTGTAGTCCAAAGATAATACTATCTAGAAAATGTCAAAATTTATTTGGCTAACATAAATATTGTACATATTTTCATATCAAAACAAATTCATTTTTAACGATCAATAACAATCGCGATCACAGACCGATTTATAACTTAACATTAATATAATCGGTTTATTTATGTTTACAATATGAAAATATTATGTAAAATATTTATTCCAAGTAACATCATATTTATGTTTTATGATTAATTATCATATATATTAACGAATGTGTATTAGCCAGGGCTGAAATTTTGAAAGTTGTACCTGTCACAATTTGAATTTAGTAAATATCCGATGGAGCGTCTACATTTTAATAGAACTCACTAGTTGAACTGTCTATATTATATGTATTTCAATAGGGTCCGCTAATGGTTTTCTTTCCGTAAATATTTTAAATATAACTAATTAATAATTCTCTTTCAATACATAGTAAGGGCTAAGAAAAGTGTGGCACTTTTAATTTTTTGTTTACGTAATTTGTTAATTACTATTATTAATTATTTATTTATTTAAGTAGTTCGCAGTTGTAATTTATGTAATTTTTTCTTTTGTTATAGAAGACAATCCCTGTGATTATACGATAGGAACTTGCATATCAGTGAGAAATTGTCCTGAAGCGGTAAATGCTTTAAAAAGAGAGAGGCGGCATAGTTTTCCTCGATGCGGTTTCGAAGGTTTCGATGAAATTGTGTGTTGTCCTCGTGGTCAGTCTGCCCAAGTTAGAACGGTGAATAATTCATCGAACTCTGAAGATGATGCCGGAAGTGAAGAAGTAACGTCTCCGTCTCCTAAAACAACAACGAGACGTCACACCACAACTACCGAATCGAATAGGAGTCGTCGACCCAGCAATAGGAACCCGACGGTTAGAAAAAGCGAATCAGGTAATTGTAATGTTATATTTCGTTAAATAAAAATAATAACACAACTTTGTAGCAATTGGTTAAGTGTTTTCATTTTGATAATAACTCAATAACTGCTCACCAAACTAAAAATAAAAACGAAACGTACAAAACAATATTTACGTTTGTTTAAAAATTTCATTTTTTCGTTATATAAAATGGATGTTCTTATTTTTTTTGTAGCATGTGAAGAATTGTCTAACGAAATACGCGCTCAGGTGTCACTTCAAATTTTCGGCGGCGAGAACGCTGAACCTGGGGAATTCCCCCACATGGTAAGAACCCCATAGCAATATTATGCATAAGCTTCCTTAATTATATGAATGTTAAAACTCTCCTCTCTGTTCTTTAGGCAGCTATTGGTTATGTAAATGAAGATGGTAACGACGAAGTAGTTGAATACAAATGTGGCGGATCACTTATTCATAAAAAGTTTGTATTGACTGCTGCGCATTGCCTTGTTGCTGACACGTAAGTAATTATATTGCAATTAATTATTAAAAATGAAAATGCATATTGACTGATCGTAGAAGGCTGTATTAATACTGACAATTATTGATTATTGTTTAATTTTACGCCAAACAAAAGCCAGAACTTTTGCTGTAATTGTTTGTAACAATTGTCATGTTGTCTACGTCTTTTTACAACAAAAAGCACTATCATTGCTAATCACTCAACATTTACTAAGCTGCGCCATCTAACGTTTGGAACTGTTACTTTGAATAAATTGACATCTCTCGGATATATAACGAACTTAATTTTCTTTTCTTCTATGGCTGTATAAGCGAAAATCTTTCTTTTTGTTTAGTACAAGTAAACCTGTGCACGTTCGTTTGGGAAAGATCGACGTTCATGGAAATTCAGATAATCTGGTGGCTGAAGATTATAGAATTTCGACTACTTTCATACACCCTGAATATAATCGTCGAAAAAGGGAACACGACATTGCTCTGTTACGTTTAAAAAAGCGGGTCAAGAACACTGACTACATTCATCCAGCTTGTCTCTTTACAAAACCGGAAAATCCAGAAAAAGTTATCGTCACAGGATGGGGCTCTACATCTTACAATGACTGTAAGATCATTGTTTTTCTTCTTTTTAAAGTTAATTATTACGAAATTATAATGCCTGTATCGAGTTTTATAATATTTTATCAAATTATCGACACCGTAGTATAGATGGCGTTAAAAAAGGCAGAGAAATGTCCTTGTTAACATTACATTTGACTGTCTCTATAAAGAAAAGGGTAGTTATTATACATATCTGAGGTTTTCAAAGCCGGGAGGTCTAGGTTTAGAAAGGCTACCTATGTTGCGTGACACATCATCATTTTCTATCTAGAAAAGATGTTTAATAGTAGAATATTTTACCAATAAAAAGAGAGAAATTAAAAAGTTCTGGAGTATCCTCCCTACAGTTCAGACCTCTCTCTTAGTGATTTTCTCTTGTTTTGACACTTTTACAATGGACGAATAACAATTGACAGTAAAATTGTAAAAAAAATGGAGTCCGATTTAGATTGGAACACCCTATATATACATATATTTAAAATTAATTTTGTGATCGTGTTAAAATAGGTGAACATTTTCCATTGCAGATAAAGGAAGTAACGTTCTTCAAAAAGCAGTTCTTCATTCGGTCCCAAACACACATTGCAATCAAACGTATTTCTCCAGATTATCTCAAGTGATAACCCCAAGTCAATTATGTGCTGGCTCAAAGGATGCATCGACTGATACATGTCAGGTAAGCATTATTAATTTTCAACGCTCCCTGTACATTGAGCAATTTCGAAAATACAGCAGCGACTGTAACAACTTTTTTATCGCGTTTGGCATTTTCATTGCCAACACCAACAAAAAGCATCTATACTTGTACAAACAATTTGTGTCATTGGTATCTTGTTAACAAACAATCGCAAAACTCCATAATAACTGAAAATATTTCTTCCCAATTTTTTATTTTCAGTTCAAATTTAATTTAAACTGTTTATAGGGAGATTCTGGGGGTCCTGCGCAAATAGAAATTTCTGAGGGTAATAACATGTACTATATTGTTGGAGTTACTTCGTTCGGAGCAAGTTGTGGGGGGAAAGTACCAGGTGTGTATACGAGGGTTAATAAACATTTAGACTGGATAGAATCGATAGTGTGGCCGTGAAAAGACAGTATTTTTTAAATAAGATTTTATCAGTTCATCTACGAACAAAAACAAAGAATACTCAAAAAGTGCTTTAAAGTGGTGCTCATTTTTTAAGATGTTACGATATATTTAATTATTAGTTGCTGAATTGTATTTTTATAAAATAATAAAAAAAAGACGACCTTTTGTAAATATAACAGCTTGTCCTTCTGTTATTTATGGAAAAAAGTGATTGACCTTAAATAACATGAAATTTAATACAGAAGGAAAATGTTGCAGTATTTTTTTCCTATATCCTATTCATCTCTTCAGTTAAATAATACTATTGTTTTTCTATTTGAAAAATAGACCATCGATCAATATTACAGTTTTATTACTTTTTACCATTTAGCTGGTACCTATTGAGACACAGTTAACAGCCCTGCTAGTCTTTACACGTCACAATTATCATAAAGTTGTACTCTGTACTACACTTATGAAAAATATAACTGCGTTTGCGTAAATATATTTATTAACCAGTTTATACAAGAAATCCAAAATAAAAATTCTTTACAAAAATATAATATGTCTTAATATAATAGAAAAAGGCATTATTGGACTTTATACAGACGCTGTTTAAATTTAATAATATCTTCAAATATTTCGGGTAGTTCTAATTCTTTTAAAACAGTTTGATAATAACAAGAGTTCTTTTTTATTGCGTTATTGTAGAGAAAATTCCTTACGCCGTTTCTACTCAATTCTAATAACGTTGAAATTTCTTGCATCTTATTAAATTTATAAACAATTCTGTTGTGAAGGTCTTTTACTAAATTTGAAATGTATGACTGCTCCATACGTGAAATTTGTAAAAGTTTATTGTAATATACATCTTTAATAGTTTTAGTTGGGGTACAGAAATCCAAAACTTGCATGAAACATTCGAAAAACGAGGGCAAGTCCTCGTCTGGAACATCTTTTTTCAAAAATTCGATTATAACCGAGTCAATTTCTGCAGAAAAATCGACAATAAACGTTACTAGTAAAGTATTTTTGTTAATTTCATCAGATGTTGGAAATGTTCGAACGTTCGTAAAAAGGAGCGCTTCCAGCTCCTCCTTATACCCATAATAATTGTAAACGTCCAGAATATCGCTCTGAAATGTGGGCATACCGAATGCCAATAAAATATAAATAATAGCAATTCGATCGCGTTTTTCCACCTTTTTTCTAGCAAAAGCATTTATTACACATTCGAAAAGACAACTAAAGTCGTTTTCGGTTTCTGCCCAGGCTACGCAGTTGTCAACAATTTCGAATGCCATCTCTGACGACAATATTTCGTATAAACATTCGATCCATTCATTCGTTGAAAATCGACAATAAAATAGGTAGCTATAAAGAAAAGGCTTTTCACAATGATTTAACAAATGCTGCTTATCTATTAGTGGCCAAATTTTCTTGAATAATCTCGCAGTTCTTTTATAAAGTACATGTTCTAAAGCGGTGAGTCCATCGCTATTGAGTAAATTGACGTCTGCCCCCTTCTCAATGATTCGCTCAGTCAAAGGATTGTCTGTTTTCAGACAAATTCATAATAGACCGCCATCTCTTGCACTATAACAGGTATCTTTGAAATCGCATACGTACTCGATTAATTCTGAGGCTATATCATGATATGAACGAGATATTGCCGCCATAAAAGGCGATTTATTGTAATACTTTGTATTAGGATCTGCCCCGTAAAAAAGTAATAATCGGACCATTTCCAAATTATTACGCAAAACAGCATCATATAAAGGAGTAAAACCACCGCAACGTACAGCATTTATGTTTGCACCAGATTTAATTAACAATTCTGCGATGTCTGCACGACAATATTTAACTGCGCTATGTAACGGTGTTAAATATTTTCTGGTACAATTATTAACATCACTACCGTTCTCTACAAGTCGTTTGATAACATTTATTCTTGCATTGTAAAGTAAAGCCAACGACATGCATGTTCTTTTATTCTTATCTGCTACATTGATGTCGACATTAGGTTGGTCCAGAAGTAAATCCAGAACTTCCAAACTGTAAATTGTTATTTTTACAATTGTATTAATAATAGCATAAACAGGCTCTTATAAACATACTTATCAGCGATAACAGCGGCATGAAGTGGAGCAAATCCTTTACGGTCACGTTTATTTAGGTTTAATTTTTCTGTTTTCAATAGACTTTTCAGTTTTTCGACTTCTCCAGCACGTATTGCATCAGTTACCAAATTTATTGGCGTATTGGGCAGTCGATGATACATATTGTTCCGAAAATAATCTACGAAAATAATAATCATTGGATATTTTCATAAATTCAAATTTAAACCTCTCAAAGTTAAGGCAAAATTATACAATTTGTTTGTTTTTGTGTTTGTATCTATTTCATATCCTTTTTCTGTTAATGTTAATGAGAATAACCTTATTTAAACTTTAATATGAAAATAATTCAAAAATTGTTAATATTTAAATTATTTATTAAGTACTACTCTATGTATGAGGTCTCATTTTTTCAAAAGGAAGACAATTCTCTTCAAAATCCTTTTATGCAAAAAGTTTTGGACCTAATTCTTGGTTGTTAATTGCGCCAAAGTAAAATATTTATAACATCGTACTATACCCCCCCCCTCGCAACTAGCCCTTACGTTTATTAGACACAAACACAATAAGTAACCCATGCAGTAATTATTGTTAATACAACAAAAATAGTAGTACTGTACCTGAACCAAAAAAATAATGTCTTAAAAAATATTGTAATGATTAATTGAGAAAGAGAACTATTTAACATGCTCTGATTAATTAATTGAAGGTACACTAATGCATTTACTATGTTTAAGCAAAAGCAAAATTAATAACTGCACCTTTAAGCAAAGAGAACATAATAAAACTCTCCCAAAAATTATAACACAAAAATAAGTATCCAGCAATTTCAAAGAGGTACTTACACGAAATTACAACACATAGATAAAATCATCAAGGCACACACTACATATTTCCACAAATTGAGGGCCAATGAGCAATAGATAAATCGGGTTAAGAAAATTGTACTTATTAAAAGCATAATGTGGGGAGGAAATCCAATTAGGATCCCCTCCCTCCTTTCTTTTTCTCAATGACAATCAGAAACATCTTACTACATTGTTTCAAGTGTTACTAACTTTCATTTATTAATACAGAACTATCTTTCCATACAGCAGTTGTCATATTTTTTTTTTTTATTTTCACGGCCTTTCGGGAAGATGGCAGATTTTTAAACTTTGGTAATAAAAGCTTAAAAAGCATCACAATTGTCATAAAGGTGTATAAACACTACAATTACGCATGTAAAAAAGGTTTTTATTAACCAGTGTATACAGTATAACTAAAAATAAATTCTTCCACAAAAGTAATAAGTTAAAATAAACAAAAGAAACACATTATTGAACTTTATAAAGGCACTGTTTAAATTTAATAATATCTTTCAATATTTCGGGTATTTCTAATTCTTTTAAAAAAGTCTGATAATAACAAGAGTTCTTTTTTGTGGTGTTATTGTAGACAAAAGTTCTCGCGGCATTTCTACTCAATTCTAATAACGTTGGAATTTCTTGCATGTTATTAAATTTATAAACAATTGTATTGTGAAGGTCTTTGACTAGATTTGAGGTATATGATTCTTCTACACTTGAAATTTGTAAAAGTTTGTTGTAGTATACATCTTTAATAGTTTTAATTGGAGTACAAAAATCTAAAACGCGCGTGAAACATTTCAAAAACGTGGGCAAATCTTCGTCTGGAACATCTTTTTTCAAAAATTCAATAATAACTGAGTTAATTTTCACAGTATAATCAACAATAAACGTTGCTAGTAAAGTATTTTTGTTAATTTCGTCAGGCGTTGGAAATGTTCGCACATTTGTAAATAGGAGCGCTTCCAACTCCTCATTATATCCATAGTAATTGTAAATGTCCAAAATATCGCTCTGAAATGTAGGCATATCCAGTGTCAATAAAATATAAATAATAGCAATTNAGACATTTTCATATAAAAATTGGTTGAACTGGACAACGATTTAGTTACTAATTAAGAGTTTGTAGCGAATTTTGATTGTAAACTATCGTATAAATGCCGAAAATAAGACGTTTGTTAAAATGCGCAAGTATTACCAACAATTAACAAAAATTTGTTGAAAAATTTTGGTGGAGGCGCTGGGACAATTTAAAACGAAAGCTATAATTGACCTATTATTTTGGTTTAATTGGGATAGTTTGATGAATTTTCATCTTTAAATTATACTTCTTGTTTGTATACGCAGTTGGGGATGTTAATTTGTATTTATCATTTTACAATTGCACTACAATTTGTAATATAAAATGTAGACAACCCAACATACAGCAAATAGGAAAACTCAAATAATATTTACAAAGAAAACTAGAAAATTGTTTTTCTTACGATTACAACTTTTTTTATTCCGTAAAAATAATTAATTAATTAGTAATATTTTTAAAGACATCTTCATATATAAAATTGGTTGAACTAAACAATTATTTAGTTACTAATTAAGAGTCTTCAGTGAATTTCTATTGTAAACTATCGTATAAATGCCGAAAATAAGACGTACATTTAATAAAAAAAATTGTTGGGAAGTTATGGTGGAGGCGCCGGGACAATTTAAATCAAAAGCTCTAATTGAGCTATTATTCTGATTTCATTGAAGTACATAGATTAATGAATTTTCATCTTTACATATATTTATTCCATGTAGTCGCAGTTAGCAATGTTGGGTTACATTTTTCTTTTAGCAATAAATTAAACTGCAATTTGTAATATAATATACAACCCAACATACAGCTCATATGACAACTCTACTAATATAACTACAAAAAAAGTTATAAAACGCTTTTTATACGAAAATAACCTTTTTACGTGAATCTAAATACTACGCTCAAACAAACCATAAAATATAACGTAGAAATAACTAATTAATTTGCAATATTTTTAGAGATATTCTTGTAAAGTTTGGTTGACAACCCTTGCACATTTTTATAACATTAGATTACTAAAAGGTACATAAACTCTTAACACAAACAATCTAACGTTTCGCTGCTTAATTGGCGACTTCTTTAAGGGTAATTGTAAAATTAGTTAAGATTTGTTAACACAGTGATAATTTTATTTTTCAATATTACAGCTTCACCAAAATATGTATGACTAACAAGACTTAAATACCTTTACAGTTACCCTTGAAGAAGGTCTAAATCAGTAGGCAAGACGGTGAAAAGAGATTGTTAATCCTAACTAATATTATAAATACGAATGTATTTCTTTGTTTAACTGCTTATTCCCACTTCACGCCTTAACTACTTAACCAGTCATCACGAAATTTTGTGCAGACATTATCAGGAGTTCAGAAAAGGATATAGGGTACTTTTTATCCAGAAAACGAATACTGTTCCCTAAGAATAAGAAAATCAGTTTTATATGGTTGCCAATGATCTTTAACACGCATTTAGATAATCAACGCGAGCGAAACCGCGGGTAAAAGCACACATTGCTGAAAAGGACATCATCATCAAGTGGTCGTCAGTTCTAAGACTGGTTAGACACGTAACTCCACTTTTTCTTATACTGAGCACTATTCTACTATAAGTTTACCTCTACTCCTCTTAACTCCTGTTTCTTCCTCTAATATTTCTCCCACTAGCCTTTCATGCCTGAGAAGGTGTCCTATCAACCTATCTCGTCTATTTCTTATTGACTTTCATACAGTCCCCTGTTCTCCTATTCTTTCTAATACCTCTTCATTTCTAACCTTCTCTATCCACTGTATCCTCATCATTCGTCGGTAGCACCACATTTCGAACGCTTCTAACCTTTTCTTTTCTGCAGCGCCCACTGTCTATGTTTCGCACCCGTACAGCGCCGCTCTTCAAACATACGCCTTTAACAACCTTTTTCCAATTTCTAAATTAACCGTTCCCGAGCATAGAACTGACTTTTCTTTATTGAAGTCGACTCGACCCTGCGCTATCCTCTGCTTTATATCCCTACTGCTCCTTCCGTTCTGACTTATCTGATTTTTTAGATACCTAAAATCAGTTATATCTTCTAATCTTTCGTCTCCTATTTTTACACACATTGTCAGGGATATAGAAAAGAACATAGGGTACCTTTCATCCTGGAAAAAATACTGTTCGCGAGGGATAGTAAAATCAGTTTTATGTAGTCGTCGATCATCTACTACACGTATTTAGGAAACATAATAAAAATATATTTTTCATATGACTTAGGTCCAAGTGCTTTACTTTCATGGAANTTAATCCTAACTAATATTATAAATACGAATGTGTTTCTTTGTTTAACTGCTTATTCCCACTTCACGCCTTAACTACTTAACCAATCATCACGAAATTTTGTGCAGACGTTATCAGGGGTTCAGAAAAGGATATAGGATACTTTTTATCCAGAAAACAAATACTGTTCCCGAGGGATAAGAAAATCAGTTTTATATGGTTGCCAATGATCTTTAAGACGTATTTAGGACTTTAACGCGAACGAAGCCGCAGGTAAAACCACATATTGTCAGGCATGCAGAAAAGGACATCATCATCATCAAAAGGTCGCCAGTTGTAAGACTGGTTGGACACGTACCTCCACTCTTTCCTATACTGAGCAGTAGTCTACTCTAAGTCTACTTCTACTCCTCTTAACTCCTGTTTCTGCCTCTAATATTTCTCGGACTAGCCTTTCATGCTTAGGAAGATGTCCTATCAACATATTTCGTCTATTTCTTATTTACTTCCATAGAGTCCTTCGTTCTCCTATTCTTTCTAATACCTCTTCATTTCTAACCTTCTCTGTCCTCATCATTCGTCGGTAACACTACATTTCGAACGCTTCTAACCTCTTCTTTTCCGTCGCGTCAACCGTCTATGTTTCGCACCCGTACAGTGCCGCGCTTCAAACATACACCTTTAACAATCTTTTTCGAATTTCTAAATTAACCGTTCCCGAGCATAGAAATGACTTTTCTTTGTTGAAGTCGACTCGAACCTGCGCTATCCTCTGCTTTATATCCCTACTACTCCTTCCGTTTTGACTTATCTGATTTTTTAGATACCTAAAATCAGTCATATGTTCTAATCTTTCGTCTGCTATTTTTACACACATTGTCAAGGATACAGAAAAGAACATAGGGTACCTTTTATCCTGGAAAAAATACTGTTACCGAGGGATAGTAAAATCAGTTTTATGTAGTCGTCGATCATCTACTACACGTATTTAGGAAACATAATAAAAATATATTTTTCATATGACTTAGGTCCAAGTGCTTTACTTTCATGGAAAAAAATTGAATAAGTGCTAATTGTAAAATGAAAATTAACAGTTTTGTACATACAGTTTCATCTAATTCAATTTGTGAAATTGATTGCATATGTACGTGCANTATTGCGTTATTGTAGAGAAAATTCCTTACGCCGTTTCTACTCAATTCTAATAACGTTGAAATTTCTTGCATCTTATTAAATTTATAAACAATTCTGTTGTGAAGGTCTTTTACTAAATTTGAAATGTATGACTGCTCCATACGTGAAATTTGTAAAAGTTTATTGTAATATACATCTTTAATAGTTTTAGTTGGGGTACAGAAATCCAAAACTTGCATGAAACATTCGAAAAACGAGGGCAAGTCCTCGTCTGGAACATCTTTTTTCAAAAATTCAATAATAACTGAGTTAATTTTCACAGTATAATCAACAATAAACGTTGCTAGTAAAGTATTTTTGTTAATTTCGTCAGGCGTTGGAAATGTTCGCACATTTGTAAATAGGAGCGCTTCCAACTCCTCATTATATCCATAGTAATTGTAAATGTCCAAAATATCGCTCTGAAATGTAGGCATATCCAGTGTCAATAAAATATAAATAATAGCAATTCGATCGCATTTTTCGACCTTTTTTCTAACAAACGCGTTTATTACACATTCAAAAAGACAACTGAAGTCGTTTTCAGTTTCAGCCCAGACTACACAGTTGTCAACAAGTTCGAATGCAATCTCTGACGATAATAATTCGTATAAACATTCCGTCCATTCTTTCTTTAAAAATCGACAAAAAAATATATAGGAATAAAGAAAAGGCTTATCACAATGATTCAACAAAAGATTCTTGTCTATTAGTGGCCAAATCTTTTTGAACAATCGGGCAGTATTTTTGCAAAGTGTATATTCTAAAGCTATGCTTCTATCCCAATTAACTAAATTTACGTCTGCTCCCCTATCAATTATTTCCTCAGTCAAAGGATTGTTTGTGCTTAGGCTAATTGACAAAATACTGCCAGCATAACAAGTAGTATCATTAAAATCACATTCATATTCAATTAATTCTGAGGCAATAGCATGATAGGAATGATGTATTGCTGCCTTAAAAGGAGTACATAAATTGTCACACTTAATACTAGTATCTGCCCCATAAAAAAGTAATAGTTGGACCATTTCCAAATTATTATATAGCACAGCCTCATGTAAAGGGGTAAAACCACAGTAATCTACAGCATTTATGTTTGCACCACATTTAATTAACAGTTCTGCAATGTCTGTATGACTGGAAATGACTGTGAGATGTAATGGTGTTGAACTATGCTCGCTATTGCAAATATTAACATCACTACCCATATCTATCAATCGTTTTATAATGTTTATATCTCTGTTGTAAAGTATAGCCATGAAAATACATGTTTTATTATCCTCATTTACTACATTGATATCAACATTAGGTTGGCCCAAAAGTAGATCTAGAGCTTCTAAACTGTAAATTATTATTTTTAAAATTATATTGAAATCATCAGGCTTTTATGAACATACTTATCAGAAATGACAGCAGCATGAAGAGGAGCATATCCTTCACTGTCACATTCATTTATATTTAATTCTTCTGTTTTTAATACATTTTTTAATTGTTCAGTATCACCAGCAAATATTAACTCGGTAACCAAATTTATGGACATATTTGCCAGTAATAATTATCAGTAGATGATACAAATTATTCTAAAAACAATCTTGTTATAGTTAACATTGATTTTAACCACTAGAATTTGAGATACTTTTGCTAAGGCCGCAATTATTACCATGCTATTTGCAAATTGATACTTTTACATTTCTTGTAAATAGAAATAGCAGTCAATAAAAAAAATCTGTTACAAATAAAATAGTACAGTTTTAAATTAAAGTTTGAATTTTATTCATGTGTCCATTTTCAACAAAAAATAATTTTTGTTAAATTATTTTATGGATGTAAATACTTACAATTTTGTATCCTTAATGCGTTTATAGCACGATTTATAGGCGATAATCATAATACAATCATTACGGTATTTTTAAAGTTTTAATTTGACATGTAATGTATATTTGACATTTCACTGCTGGCTTTCAACTTCATCATCGTCCATTAAGCCACAGATAAGATCATAGATAAGAGAGTATGATTCAGAAATATTAGTACATAACTGCATAAATAATAAAATGAACACAATATTATATCACACAATGTTTTTATTTTTTGTTTTTTAAATTTTTGTGTAGTTGTGTGTTTTATATTAGAAAATATATGTTTAACTTTGTAACATTACATTGAAATTTGNTTATTCATGTTGCATAAATTATAACTGCTTAATCAACCCACTTAAATATTAGAAGAAAACTCGGTGTATTTAGTCATTTTTATTTAATTTTTCTTTTTGCTAATAATCAATTTTCATTTCAGGATAAAGTCTCCAGTCAACAAATAAACATCCCAGAAGGTCCTCCAGGTGTATCGCCGAAGAAAGATGAATCACCTAGGGCCCAACCAATTACTACAATGGCAAACGTTCCGAGAATTGTTGGTATGTAATTATTTTGACTTGAACTGTTGTAAAAAACTATAACTTTTGCTACTATGGTTTTCAGGACATCCACGCCATAAGTCATCTCATGATCGGTCACCTAGGAGGCACCATCCTCACCAGAAATCTCCGTCATACAAGGAAACAATGTGAGTAATTTACGTTTTTATTTGGTTTATGAATAATTTTCTCGGTAAACTTCTTAAAGGAATTGGTTTTAAGGATTGTTTTTTTACTAAAATTAATTTGTTAACTTTTTTCAGAAATCACATGGAAGATAGACCTGGAACTCCCACTGTTGATGAACCTGGGGGTATAGAAAATATGGCACCGTCCACTAATGGCAAGAGTGTTTATCAAGCAGGAATGCAACCTTATGGAACACCTTTGGCTGGTGTCATGCCACCTGTGGTGAGTAAGAAATTTTTAAGAACATGTGAATTATAAATTCAGTTCAGATAATAACAAAAAGGATAATTAATTTGCTAAGATGAACAAGTAATCGAACTTCATGGTGTATATCGTTTTTAATTTGAATTTTGTTTATATAAATATGACATTTCACTGCTGGCTTTCAACTTCATCATCGTCCATTAAGCCACAGAAAATATCATAGATAAGAGAGTATGATTCAGAAATATTAGTACATAACTGCATAAATAATAAAATGAACACAATATTATATCACACAATGTTTTTATTTTTTGTTTTTTAAATTTTTGTGTAGTTGTGTGTTTTATATTAGAAAATATATGTTTAACTTTGTAACATTACATTGAAATTTGTTTCGATATTTATTTTTATGTATATTTGTGTATTATATGATTTTATCACTCTACAGTTTAATGTTGCTATTGAGATGTAAGAAGCGGTATGGGGACTACAGCCACATCCATATAGGCTTAACTCTATGGACTTGACGTAAGCATACGCAATTTGACGACGAAATGACGCCATCTTTAATGCCAGATTATTGACGGCAAATTTGTTCGTAGACAATGCTAAGCAGCATAAAAAACAAAGAATTTATGTAAGTAAATAGTAAATGCGGTATACTCAAGGTTTTTTGTGAAGTTCTTTAAGTTATTTAGAGATGGATAAGTGTTCATGAACTTTTTTGTGTTTAAATGTTTCAATTAACATTGTGCACCTCAAAATGTCTGTTCATTATAAGTTCAAGTCAGCCCTCGAGTACGATACCGTTACTTTTGATGGATTGCACATTAGTGTTAGAGATCTTAAAAATGCTATTATGCAGCAGAAGAGGATTGGAAAAGGCACCGATTTCGATCTGCAAGTCACAAACGCCCAGACTAAAGAAGGTTTGTAAACACGCTTTGTCATCTCACTGCAGTAATTATTTTTATAATTTAATTTTCCTCATGCTTTAGTTTATGAAGATAATGATGCCTTGATACCAAAGAATACTTCTTTATTAATTGCTCGCATTCCTTCATCTCAAGTTAAAGTGAAAACTTGGGAAGGTTATGGGGGCAGTGCAAGCCCTGATACTAAAATAGATGATATTGGCCCCATTGCTAAGACTGCAGATCTCTCAAAATTGGATGCTTCAGAAGAAGATAAAATTAGGGCTATGATGTCACAATCCACACAAGACTATGATCCTAGCAAGTGAGTTCATATTATGTTTTAAATTGCAGTCTTTGTAGCTATTGTATCCAAATATAAATATGTCCTGTAGTTTACTAGAATGTGAATGTTTCAATTTTTGTTTCAGTTATTTAAAAATTAGGGGTTCCAATCAAGTAGGAGCAGTTCCTCTTAATTATCGTTGTTTCAAGTGCCACCAAGGTGGACATTGGATCAAAGACTGTCCATTGAGCCAAGGAGCTGTAAGGAACAGTTATTTTTATTATACATTATCAAAATTTTTACTTCAACATTTTTTCCAGGAGCCAATGGAAATTAAAAAAAGCACAGGGATTCCTCGCAGTTTTATGGTCCCCGTGGAAGGTCCACAGGTACCTGGGGCCATGATGACCCCAAATGGTTCATTTGCTGTTCCTGTTCTTGATCATCAGGCCTATAATGAAAAACCACAACCTCCAGCACATCCTGAGGAAAAACAACCTGAAATACCTGAAGATTTGGTATGTTCTATTTGCTCCGACCTTTTGACTGATGCAGTGATGATTCCATGTTGTGGTAATTCATTCTGTGATGAATGTATCAGAAGCATCTTGCTGGAATCTGAAGACCACGAGTGTCCTGATTGTCATGATCGTGATATTTCACCTACAACTCTCATACCTAACAGGTAAAAATTATTTTTTTTTTGTTATTGTTAAATTCAATTCAAAAAAAATGTATGTAAAACCTAAAATTTTGCTTCATTTAAATATTCAAATAAAAACCAATAAATTAATTTTTTCTGTTTGTTGCAGATTTTTAAGGAATGCTGTAGCGAATTTTAAAAATACCACAGGATATGTGAAAAGACCTGTGTATAGGCCTCCACCTACTATTGTAGAACCTCCTGAACCCAAGAAAGATGAAGAACCAGCGGTAATAATACTTTTTATGTTTTCAACTAAAGCTTGTAATTAAATATTTTTTAATTTCAGAAAGTTCCTACATCCACAACACCAACTCCCATCAAAGAAAGTACTCCGCCGCCTGTAGTACCTCAACCTGAGACCGAAAAATTGGTCATAAGCGAAGCAGATTCCACAGAAACGCCCAAGACTATTGTCAAAGATACAGCACCAGAGGTATCAATTTATTTCTAATAATTTGCTATTAAATGAGCATTATTTAATGCTGATACATGTAATCACATGACGGCTGCGACTGTCGACTCCCCCCCTTCCCATATTTAGTATCGATCGATAAGAATTAAATAATTTGAAAAGAGCGTATACAACCCAATATACACCTGGTTTATTCATGTTGCATAAATTATAACTGCTTAATCAACCCACTTAAATATTAGTAGTTCTAATTCTTTTAAAACAGTTTGATAATAACAAGAGTTCTTTTTTATTGCGTTATTGTAGAGAAAATTCCTTACGCCGTTTCTACTCAATTCTAATAACGTTGAAANTTATAAATTTTGATATAATTTGTGGTAGGTACCGGTCATCATTTTTCCACATTATATATTTTGAAAATTTAATTTTAATTGGTTTTATCGCTTGTTTATCATCATATTTTCGTTGCCGAGCGGCGCGGTCTAAGGTTTAGATCACAATTTAGCATGCGGGAGGTCACTGGTACGATTCCAGGTCCATCTACTATGATCCGAGTTTTTCTGTGATTTCCTTGGATTATTTAGGTAAATGGTGGGGCACGCATAAACCTTGAAGTCTTTTATATCTTCATTTTGTTTGCCTCATATGTATATATCTAACCAACTATCTCCTACCCGTCCCTACGATTTCTAAAAGGAGGCGGAAGAAGGTCTTCCGTCCTTTCGCTCGACTTTACATTACAGTACATAGGTTAGAGGGACTGCCCTCTCGCCAGCTTTAATAGCTAGTGGGAATAATATAATNAAAACTCGGTGTATTTAGTCATTTTTATTTAATTTTTCTTTTTGCTAATAATCAATTTTCATTTCAGGATAAAGTCTCCAGTCAACAAATAAACATCCCAGAAGGTCCTCCAGGTGTATCGCCGAAGAAAGATGAATCACCTAGGGCCCAACCAATTACTACAATGGCAAACGTTCCGAGAATTGTTGGTATGTAATTATTTTGACTTGAACTGTTGTAAAAAACTATAACTTTTGCTACTATGGTTTTCAGGACATCCACGCCATAAGTCATCTCATGATCGGTCACCTAGGAGGCACCATCCTCACCAGAAATCTCCGTCATACAAGGAAACAATGTGAGTAATTTACGTTTTTATTTGGTTTATGAATAATTTTCTCGGTAAACTTCTTAAAGGAATTGGTTTTAAGGATTGTTTTTTTACTAAAATTAATTTGTTAACTTTTTTCAGAAATCACATGGAAGATAGACCTGGAACTCCCACTGTTGATGAACCTGGGGGTATAGAAAATATGGCACCGTCCACTAATGGCAAGAGTGTTTATCAAGCAGGAATGCAACCTTATGGAACACCTTTGGCTGGTGTCATGCCACCTGTGGTGAGTAAGAAATTTTTAAGAACATGTGAATTATAAATTCAGTTCAGATAATAACAAAAAGGATAATTAATTTGCTAAGATGAACAAGTAATCGAACTTCATGGTGTATATCGTTTTTAATTTGAATTTTGTTTATATAAATAATTTGTTACCCTTTGTTCTTATTAAACATAGATTTATATTAGCTAAAATTAGAAGAATTTAGAATTTGAAACAGAAAGTAAACGTATTTATTTATTTGTTTGTTGTATTTGTAGGGAGTCCACCCTCCTGTAGTAGGTTCCTACAGGCCTCCTATGGCAGGCTATCAGGGACCACCACCGAATTTTCGAATGCCACCACCCATGTCAAATCCACCACCGTACTTACCCAGGTAAGTTTCTTAATAACATGTAAAGTTTGGAAGCATAAATGACGTTTATATTAACTTTAAAAAAGGCAATTTATCATTCGCCGTTGTTTATAATCCACAATCTACGTCAATTAATTTGTTTTGTACATATTTTTGATAAACTTATTAATTTTTTTTTTTTTTTTCGTTTTAGCCCTTATACTGTACCACCTCGTCCAGTTTACGACGGGGACCGAGCGGCTCCCTACTCAAACTATTCAGCGACTTACAGGCCTTCCAGGGGTAGAGACTATCCACCCCGTGAACCTTTAAGGCGCGGTAGAACACCTCCTGGGTAAGTTATAATTTGTGTTACTTGTCTTGCGATGTACTATTTTCAGTTATATTTTTCAAGAAAAACTAATACTTTAGCATAACTGTATTACTGCTGTTTGTTGATATAGTTGTATTAAAAAGCCAAAAATTTTGAAATAATGCAGTTTGATTAAAAGAAATCTATGTAACATTTTAACTATGTCATATGTTTTGTTATTTTTAGTGTAATAGATGATCCTTTAGCTGCATTCGAAAGGATGCTTAAAGAGAAGGACGAGAGAGAGCGTAGGGCCAAGCAACGTAAAACTAGAAGTTACAGTCGTAGCTCTAGCAGAAGTTATAGTAGATCACCGGTACACAGGCGGGGGCGTAGCCGATCGCCCCGCAGACGCATGTCACGAAGTCGTTCGAGGTCATTCTCTATTAGCAGGTATTTTTTTTTTTATACATGTATTTATTTAACCAAATTTGTAATGAATCTCATTTATTTAATTTTTTAAATACAAAATTATTTGTTTTTACTTTGTAACTTATCTGTAAATGTTTTGTTTTAGGTCACGATCTCGTAGTTTTTCTCCAAGTCCAAGGGGATCTCCCCCAAGGGACTATTCGCCTAGAGGGTCGCCTCGTCATAAGGGGCCTCCCAGGTATCGATCGCCCATCAAATCACCTCCAAGGTAAGATCACTTCTAATTTATAATTAAATGTATAAGCAACTATGCAAGTCAAACAAATGAAATCAAAAAGGGAAGACTCCTAACATTATTGTTTTGCTTTATTTACAGAGGTCCCTTGCCCCCTGAGCTTTATCGAGGCGGCTTTAAACGAACCGATCGCGACCGTGACCTTGATAGAGACCGTGATTACCATCACCCTCCTCCTCCCCATCATCACCGCGACAGACGCGGTTACAGCAAAGACCGAGATAAAGATTATGGAACAGGAGGACGTGACATGCGTGGCCGTGGTATAGGTGGCCCTCCACCACTTTCTTCTTCAGCCGGTGATTACGGCCATGCCCCCTACTATGATACGTACGATCGAGGTGGAGGAGGCGGTGGCCGCAAGCAAAACCAGGGACCGCCTCCATCAGTCTCGGCACCATCGTCCGCGCAATGGAACCAGTCGTCAATGATAGGGTTAGGCCCCCCCAGGAAGGAGTATCCGTCTAGCAGTCATCCTTATTATGCCTCAGATGTCGGACCAATGCACAGGTATTTTATTATTGTTATTATGCATTATATGTTCAATGTAATTTTACGATTGTTATCGTTATCGTCGAGGGCGTTGTTTGTTGGCGCCCTCAGTCGTGATCGCTGTTATTGTCGCCATCTCTTGCGGTTTAACGCAACTCTCTGATAACGTGCCAAAAGACTAACGTACATAGTGATTGCAAGTCAAACCAAACAAAGAACGATAAAGAGTATTTACAAGTCGATGAATCTACTCAATAATTTTAATTATAAAAAATATAAATGGGAAAACTATTCGTAGTTTTTTTTATGCTTACATTTGATTGTTTAAGCCCTTAAAAAAATCTGTCCCGAAATTATTAGGTATTGTAATTGCAAACACTTTGTAATAAAAATACGAATAAGAAATCCTAATTTTGTGGATTACATCAGAAATGTTTTATTATTATTGTTCTTTCCNATAGACAAATTCAGTCTAACACAGACGCTCTGGTGGACAACGTGTGTTGTAATAGGTCCCAGAAAACGTGCCCAAGAACTTGTTTACATACAAAGAGAAATACTAAATATTTTGGGATGAATAGGACAACAAATGGTGAGTTTTAACATTAAATTTTTGCATCCATTTACGTTAATACAAACTAGACGAGGTGAAATACTTACAAGGTAAAGTAGGAAAAGTTATCCATGATAGTAGACATCTAACGCTGCCTTTAAGGATAATTAATTTCTAAGTGCATTTTTTCGTTAGGATGGCTTGTTTCGAACAAGCACATTTCTTTTTTCATTCCCATTGTAAATTTTCGTTCACACATCAAAAGAAATTATCTTAAATTTTAAAACTTTTCTATTTTTAAAGTTTTTCCTATTAGAAAGTATCTTTAATTATAGAGAACTTGTTGCTCATTAAAAGTGTTGATAGCTGTTGTAGTATTTTGTATAATAAAACTCCACAGTCCAAGTCTCTTAAGTCTATATTTTAATGAATATAGAGACTTAAATGTTTCTAAATTTTAAGACAACTTTAATTGAAATTTTACACATATTTAATTCTCTAGAGTTCAAACCCCTCAAACTATACAATCTCGCTATGTGATCACTGGAATATAAAACCTGTTTGACACTTTTGAGGAACAACAAATTTTGTATTCAATGAGCCTTCAAGCATTGTAAAGCATGAAATGTAGCTGAAGGTTAAAAAGAATTAAAGATCACTAGACTTGCTTTTTAAACCAAAACATTATAAAAACAAAGAAAATTCTTAAAGTTGACTTTAAGAGCGAAATATTTGTATTTCCTAAAAAAAAGACGTAAAGATGTAAAGTAATATAATACCCGTACTTCCTTGAAACAAGACATTTTCTAAAGGATTTTAACTCAATGCTACAAATTCAACGCAGTTATAATATATACATTATTATAATGCAAAACTATAAAGGTACTGTTTGGAGTGATGTTTCTATTTATTTAATAATTTTCCTTTTCTGTACCATTCTTTTGAATTTTTGGTTTACTAAAGTACTTTTGTGGTTGTTTTTGTAATGCTTCCCTCTCCAGTTATATTTCCTTTTTGTGCGTTCAAAAATTTCGCAAATTAGAAGAAACATGAAACGACTTTAGGTGCTGCGATATACGAATACTAGTATATTGGATTTTCTTCAGGAAAAGGTGGGTAAGGAATTGTTTAGTTTACTGTTTGCTGTAAATATATATATATATAATGTCCCACAACAAAAAAATAATGAAGTGGAAAAGTGTATATAATAAAAGAAGAGGAAAAGTGAATATATAGTAGAGGGTATAGGTGATATAATACGTTTACGCCTTCAATAACGTATATTAAAACGGTGCTGTGAGGACACCTGTATCTATTGTGATGTAATGGGACATTATGTATATACTATAGCTGCAGTGGTGCGCAACCCTCTTTGTACTTACAGCTCATACTCGTACCCCTTACATTTTGTAAAGTTACTATCCTATTATCATCATCATAAGGTCGTTAGTTCTAAGACTGGTTGGACACGCACCATTTTGTACTAGATTTTTGAAGAATAATACAAAATTGAAGGAGGAGACGCATATTTAAAATGGTGTGTATGAGAAAATATAAAATTTAGTTTTTAAAAATAATCTGGCAAAAACTAGCCGAGATCAAACGGCTTTCTATTAATAAATTTTGAATTACTAAATCATTTGAAGAGATACTAATACAGTCAATAATGGGAATATCGTGTAACGGAAATCGAAACATCGTATTACATAAACAGAATATTAATTATGCTAAGCCACCATACACCTTTAACAAGCTAAACCTTCGCTTATAGAAACAGATGTCCGTTGATCTCAAAAATCGATGTTTCGTAGTTGTTGCTTCTTTGCCGTCAATCCCTGATACATTTGGTAATTCCCCAGTCGTTAGTGGTTGTGTTATCTGTGTTCTGCAAATCCTGAACCTTTGAATATACCGTCATTAGGTAGAGCTTTAAATGCTTTAAACAACCCAGCGGGTAAGATACAAAAAGACTATGAAATAGGAAAAACCATTATGGATTGTCTATAAAGTACGAAAGGCTAATTGGGTGGAAAAGGGAGTCGAATCGGCTGGTGTGGTTCTGTAGGAGGGGGGGGATTGTTTTAGAATCTATTTAAAGTTGAAAAACTTCATTTATTACATGGTAAATATAACTTTCGTTAACGTGAACAAATCAACAATGTGAATCACTGTTGTTCATTTCAGTTCACACTTTTGAGTATTTTGCATCGATTTTACGTGTACCTCTTTTTCTATTTCTTTGGCCAAGTCCAGATCCTGAAAATTTTTATCTTTTCTGTATTACTTTCTCTGAAAGTTACGCCACATGCATTTTGTAGCTATTGATTAATTAGTATTTCCCTTTCACAATCCCTAACAATTTTCCTACAACCCGTTGCAAAGTTGCGCACCACTCCGTTTCAGCACATGTTAAGCAAAAAGTTACAAATTGGGTTGTAGTCTCATAAAATTTCTATTATTTAAACTATGTGAACCCGATTTGCGAATTTTTGTATAAATACGTTTAGATATAATATACAATTATTATTACAACACATTCTCTACTTCGTTACATTCGTTTAATATTGAAGATTTTCATTTTCTATTAATATTAATAATTACAATTTAATACACTCCGTCTCGTGTCTCAGATAGTTTACAAAACTTTACCCTCTTCTTATGAATTTAGCGTGCCGTCTTCATCACTCCCCTACATATTAGTGCAATGCCTTTCGTCGGAATTATAATTTTATAATCCCTTCAATTTATATGTGATATTAATGTTGTTTATGACTTAAAAAAATTATATAATACACATATACTGCTATCTTTACAACACCTTGTACATATAT